TTCATGTCATATTATATAACTATATTATCAATCAAATAATTGAACAAGCGATCAATGGACCTATTTGGCGGTCACTTCAGAAGCGCTTCCTATGGATGCAAACACTTCTAAATCAGCTTTTGACTGTTTGGTGCATAAAACAAAATGGACTTTTCAAAAAGCACATCCGTGAGATGCCAATTTTTCCAGAGAAGCCTCCTGGGTAAAGTTTCTCAAAACTGGACTTTTATGACTTGTCGCGAAGTTGGTTTGTATTATTAAAGTATAACAATGGAATTCCAATATTATCCTTTAATTATTCAATCAATCTCTATTCTAGCCTTATAAAATAAATCATTTACATAACGAATGCCATATATACATACCAACGCCTAATAAGCCATCAAGATTTGCAGTCAAACAAAAGAAAGGAGAAAATTTTCATCTGCGTCCTATGGAGGGAAGAAAGAGGGTTGATTGAAGGGGGGAGAAAAAAATGAAGAGAGGGCTACGAAGTAGTCACTGAATATGCGTTTAGGTATATAGGAGGACTTGATAGAGATTTAGGATTTATGAAAGGATCGACATACTGATAGGGAAGGAGAGAGTTGCAGACAAAATTGAAAGTGTCAGCTTGCTTGACGTTAGATGAGGACTTTATTTTTTCTTTTTCTTTTTTCCAAAACAAAGAGATTTGGAAAAAGGGACTTGTTAACAGGTGGCATCATATATATATATGTGAATAGTTAGGGTTTTGTTTTAAACCAGAAGAAATCTTATCCTTCACAATCACTCATAAACAATAATCATTAAAATATGTGAATGGACAAGAAACTNTTTTTTTCCAAAACAAAGAGATTTGAAAAAAGGGACTTGTTAACAGGTGGCATCATATATATATGTGAATAGTTAGGGTTTTGTTTTAAACCAGAAGAAATCTTATCCTTCACAATCACTCATAAACAATAATCATTAAAATATGTGAATGGACAAGAAACTCTTAAGAAAAATCTATATGTTGCTATAGTGGGGGTCAAAACACAACTCAAAATTTATATAAAATTAGTGGTGACGGCCGGCCCAGACTAATCCCACTCCAAAATTATAAACTAGGCCTAGCTCAGATGCCTAGTGTAGAAATATAGACCAGGCCCAAGTCGCAAGTGCAACCCGTACTATCTTATAAATTATAAGCTCCACCTANCAGCTTAGATGCCTAGTGTAGAAATATAGACCAGGCCCAAGTCGCAAGTGCAATCCGTACTATCTTATAAATTATAAGCTCCACCTACACATAGGGGCATCACACACACTTTAGCACACTACACGCTCTTGAGCAATAAGATTCTTCAACCACCGTAGCCCTTTCTAATGGAGTAGGTCACCCAGACCGAATCCGCACAATGTCTTTNTAGCTCAGATGCCTAGTGTAGAAATATAGACCAGGCCCAAGTCGCAAGTGCAACCCGTACTATCTTATAAATTATAAGCTCCACCTACACATAGGGGCATCACACACACTTTAGCACACTACACGCTCTTGAGCAATAAGATTCTTCAACCACCGTAGCCCTTTCTAATGGAGTAGGTCACCCAGACCGAATCCGCACAATCTCTTTTTTGGCTTTTGTTGAGCCCTTCTTACTTCATCTATTGATTGATTTTTTATAAACACTTTTATGCATCATCAGTGCGGTGTCGTCTGTGAGAATGATTTAGTTTTCACCCTACTATATTCCCTCTTCTTATGAACATTACGGCTAGACCCATGAATCAACATAAAGAAGATGATCAACAACGCTAGGAGGAGGTCCGACCCTCGCCAGCAAATCTCATCCCTGAACCAAAACAAATGTTACTGAAGACTATACAACTGTTGGAGAATCAAAACCAGCAGATCTGCCAGTTAATACTCGTCGGACACCCTCAAAGAGTTGTGCCTTAGCACCCAAAAGGGGAAGCACTCCAAGTACTTCGCCCAGGGCAACCCCAACAGCGCCAGAGTGCCCCTTCTCAGCGCCAAGGCGCTCGGCTACCCCTCCTCAGCTCCATGGCGCCCGACTCCTCCTCCTCATGAGCTAGCTCCGTCCTCCCATGATGGTGACCTTAATTTCCAAGAAGACAAGAGGGAAAACTAATATGTGGACCACGAGAACCACTACAATGACCATTTAAAAAGGCGTCCTTAACTACTGGGACAAAAAAATCAGTAGTGCAAAACCAACTCAGTGACGTCTTCAACTCCATGAAGGTGCAAGGACCTGAAACGATCGAGTACCTAGTGAGGCATACTGACATGCTCTTTGTTGCTGATGTGGCCAATTACCCTCTCCCCCAAAGTGCAACATGCCAACCGTGGAAGATTTTGATGGCTCTAAAGATCCATTGGACTACCTTGACACCTACAAATCCCTAATACAGCTGCACAACATACCAAATGAGATCATGTGCAAGACTTTCCCTATCACCCTCAAGGGATTTGCTCGTCAGTGGTTCACCAAGCTTACCCTAGTTTCCATGAACTCTCTTGCTGAACTAAGCAATTCTTTCGTCTCACACTTAATTAGGGGACATCGACATCAGAAGCCTGCCACCCCACCTGCTCAATACCAAGCAGAACGAGATGAAAGTCTAAGAAATTACCTCACTCATTTTAAGGAGGAGGTCCTCTAGATTGAAGATC